TATCCACTATTGACTAGTATATAACTATGGCTGATCTAAGATGATGATACTAATGACGGTGCAATAGCCAAATACACGAATATTATTATACCCATAACAATTTAAAAATGAGAGATGCCGTTAAAAAAATAATGATCAGGTCTTTATCATTTTTAAACAACATCAGCGGCTAATTAGATTGTTTTAAATAAGCAACATGGCGCATTGAAGGGTTAAATTAGTGTACTCAAATGTATTACCTGTGAAAATAATAAATGGAATATCATTAGTTCTGCTAAAGTACTAAGTACTAATATGTTTGATACATTTTTTCCCAATTGTATAATAAAACAAAAGAGCAGGTTTGCAATAATGAATTTGATTTTTTTTTTTAAGTAACTGATGAAAACTATTAAAAGCGAAAAATTATAATACAATAATAATTATAATTATACAAATATTGTAAGGTACTTATTAAATTGGTTTAAATTGCATATACATTTAAGCGTACATTTTTTTTATTAGTTAACACATAAGGATTTTCGGCTAACATATAAACTATATAAACATTATAATTGGCTATTTTATTCCTGATTTTGGAGTTGATGCAGTATATTGAATTCGCCAACACCACCGCTTGGTCCAGCGTCCATTTCTTTTTTAAAGTATCTGATTGCACGTATTCTAATAAGGGATAATTCTTGGTTGGCTTTGTAGGGAGTCGGTAGATGTTCGACGTCCGTATATACGCCAGTACTCACCAAGCCCATCATGTTACCATACCGTTGACTAAACTCCATGCATGTAAGTGTGAAGAATTCTTTTCGTTTTTTCAAACCCCCCCTCTCTTTCACCCTTACTACGTTGATGGCGGTTACTATTTGACGCACCGCCTCAGTCGATATTAAATAAAATTTAAACTTGTTGTAAATGTGTTCTATAACAGGAACGATCGTATCAAAGAGCTCATTAATATCTTTTGATAACTTATTTGGTATTATTTGATTTGATACATGACACAATCTACTCAACATTGAAATGCCTTCACTTTCAATTACGTTTATAAGCCGAATAAATGCCTCAAAGTAACGTTCTTTTTTTACACAGTTCTCCATCACTACTTGCAATGGCAGGCCTACTGCAAGACCGCAATAGGTGTCCAGTATAACGGCCATAAAACAGTCTGTACTTGGTATATTGGCTGTCAGCGAACTTTCAGTGGAAAAAATATTATGGCTCAGGCCTTCAGTAACCGTAAAGGGTGGCATCACACCGTAGTTTGCATATGGCACTTGAACGTCCGGGATACTAACACATCTTTTCTGCGGGGCTTCTTCGGTCTCGTTCGATCTATATTGAGTATAGCACGTTTTGTCCAAAAACACTAAACTCATAAATATCGACTCGGTTTCTTGCAAATTTCGAATGGTTTCCAATGTTATCATCGTTTGACAACGGCTAATACTGCATAGTGCAATAACACAGACTTGGAACAAAAACATTTTTTTACTTGTATTCTTCTTTAACTGTCGAAAAAAATTAAAAACAGGTATACTATGTACAATTGTTATTCGTTATAATATGAACACTAATATTTTTCACAAATTTTTAACTGCGCACTACGAAGTATGCTGTATCGACTGAATTGTCGTTAAACTTACGTGACAATCCAAACCACGTTTTACAGCTACACTAAATTTGTTTGTAAAAGTAAGAGTTTTGATAGTGGGAAGGAATATTTTTATTACATTTTTTAGAAAAACTAGAACAAATAACAAGACGATATGGGATAGGTACAATGTTTGATATTCGTACCTATCCCATATAGGTATGTTTGCTGTTCGTTCTATGTATTTTCCCGCTTCCCGTCCTTAAAAAAAATAAAGAAAAAAATTCCTTTTTTTTTCTATTTTTTCAACGCACCGAAAACACTGAATTTTCAATTTTCCCTAGTGTATAATTTACAGAAAGTTGAATCTATATATACCTAATATCAAAGCGTATTGGGGGGGCGTCTTAGTTACTAATTTTCCACACAGATTTTATGTAAGCTAATAATAACTAACAAGTAAAATTAAACGCTCTATCTGGGCACTTTATAATTTTACATGTCTTTAACTATTACATCATTGTATTAGTGTTAATGTAATATTACTTTATCATTATAACTATACATATTGTGTTGATTATTTATTTTGTTTTGATCCACACAAATATCAACATTGAACGCTTTTTTTTTTTATTGACAATGTTCAGACGTTTATTTATTCTTTTGAGTTTTCTTTTATTCACCTATAAACAAATAGTAGCGCCGGTAATAAAATTGACACGGTATTAAAAAAGTTACTATTGCTTTTTCAATACAATTTAATTTGTTGGGAAATTAACAAGAAGTAATAGTTTTAGCAAAAAAATAATTAGAAAATATTAAAACGTTTTGCCACAACATGATATTGTGTAAAACTAATAATAACAGAATTTCACGGCCCAACAGAAATTTCATAATATAATACAATCTTTAAAACACTATGTCCCGCGTTTTTATAAAATCACAGCGAATTTCTATGCCATGGTAATAATAGTGTTCTTTTAACTAATGTATGCAGCACGAGCTAAGGCTTTATTTGTTTAGTGTCATGTTTGAAGAGCTGTTGTTATTCGTGCGCGTTTGGCGAAAACAACACCGTATAGTTTCTTGACGGAAGAGACATATTATTATTTTTTATAATTTTATAAGTTTTAATGCGCCCAATTTTTATTTATTTTTCAAAAGTAAGTATATTAATTCCAGATACCCTTAACATTTTAAAAACTAGGAATACCGTTATAAAAATAATGATCTGGTCTACGATGGCTGATCAAGAATCGTTTTAAATAAAAAACTGCTTGATCAATCCGCTAGATAGTACTAGTAAGATGATATATAACAAATTAAATAATTAATTAAGAAAAAAGATTATTTCAAATAAGCAACTTGGCGCACTGAAGGGTTAGAGATTATATTCAGTTTTGAATATTTTTGAAAGTTTGTTTACCATTTTTAATACAGTCTTATGCATGTTTCATCCTGAACAACCTACCTACTTTTAAATCATAAGCTACGAATATTATAATTTATAAATAATGAACAATTGTTTTTATTTCCAACGTATTAATTAGGTAAAAACTATTTATACATGCTAATAACAAAATATATCAGAACAAAAAACTCAATTTTTAATCTAAAGAATTGGAATTTTATACATAGCTTTTACATTGTTTAAACAAAGGTTTAAAGAATAATATTCTTCTTCTTCTTCTTCTTCTTCTTGGGTTTTTCGGCCATCAAGACCATCCCATCACACATCCAATCCTCCAGCCTTCCCTTTCCACCGCTCTTGTTTTCCAATCCCGTCCTCCGTTCAGTGTTTCCACGTCTTTTCTTATCACATCTTCCCACCTCAATCGTGGTCTTCCCAGTGGTCTCCTGCCTACTGGGTTCTCGTCCATGATCATCCTTATGAGATGGTTCTGGCTTCGCATAGCATGTCCAGCCCATTGAAGTCTTCGGCTTTTGATTACGCTTAATATATTTTCTTTCCGGAACATCCTCTCCAGTTCCTCATTTTTTCTCGTTCTCCACTCTCCCGTTTCTCTGTCCATAACAGGTCCAAAAATCTTCCTTAAAACTTGCCTTTCAAAAACCAGTAATTTCCTTTCCTCAGTCTTTCTCAATGGCCAGGTCTCAGCCCCATAAGTGACAAATGGGCGTATTAAGGTTATGTATAGTTGTATCTTCATTTCTATTGACAGAGATCGTGATCCTAATATTTTTGTGAGTCCATAGAAACATTTATTTCCTGATAGGATTCTTGATGCTATTTCTTTGTCAGTCTCATTTTTTTCTGTTAATATTGAACCCAAGTACTTAAACTGTTTGACTCTACTGAACTCATATCTACCAACTTTCAGGTGTGGAAAAACGGCCACACTATCTCTTCTACCAACAATCATGTATTCGGTTTTTTCCTCGTTTACTTGTAACCCTACTTTTTTTGCCTTTTCCTCCAAACGAGTGAATAGTGATCTTAAATTATCTTGTGATTTGCTCATTAGTACCACATCATCTGCATATGCTAAAATTGCTATAGTCGATTCTTGTAACTTAACACCTTCTTGTGGTTGAATATACATTTCTCTTACTACTTTCTCTAAAATTAAGTTAAATAGAATCGGTGATATTGAGTCTCCCTGTCTTAACCCAGATTTTATTAGATTTTATTAAAGAATAATATATAATTTTTTTTTACATTGAATGAAGACCTAAGGGGGTGGCACCGACGGTAGTCATTTCACAACCCCCCCCCCCCTCCAGGTATCTTTTGTTTATTAAAACAATGATTTATTGTGTTCTTTTCCTTATAAAGTAATTAACAACATAATGAGACTACCCTGCAACCTGTTTGAATCTGTGGAGCGAGGATGGTAAAGTATAAAATACCGATAAAAATAATAATTGTAAAGCCAAAAATATGTTTATTTTTTGTGAGTTTAGCTATAGTCGTAGTAACAAAAGGCAATATCAACAATATAATACAATTATTTTTCAGATACACCATGTTGGCTGTTGACTAGAAATTTACTACCTACGACCAAAATTTAATTTCCCCCATTTTCTTGGGGGATTTTACTTTACAAAAAAAAAAAATAATACCGAAGAATTCTGAGGAAACGGTTTGTGTTATTCACATAGCTATTCGTGAAGTCTGTTACACCTTAAAATAAACCCTGAAATGTCATGCACATGTATCATGTATAATAAAGCAATTAAAACCGTTGAATGCAAACGTTAATTTACACAAGTGATTGTAAAAGCAATAACTCAAATGAAAGCCAAAACTCTGCTATGTACGTATGAAGTAAGTCATGATAAAATGTATTTGCATATACCAATTGGAAAAACATACTAGTATTTTACTGTTTCGGTGGACATGAAAAGCCCAATAAAATCAATTTCAAACTGATAGTTTAAAAAGCCGATCGTCAAATTGATCATATTGTATTTTAAATTTGTATTGTTTCGATATTTTAAAAAAGTAACACAATTCGACTGCAATGATTGTAAGTACGCTTTTCATACCGCTATGTCGACCTAATTTATTATAATCAATATGTATAAATTATTATTCATAATTTTGCAAGTCAATAAATCAAGAAGCAAACCTGAAAGTTACTTCATGGGATCTACAATTTTTAATGTTCACCGTTTTTCCCTTCAAAGTCTAGCTAAATTATCGAATTAGTTTCAAATAATTGGTTTGGAATATTCTTTAGACACGGTATTATCAATATACTTAGTCGCACACCTAAAATTAGTTCTTGGTTCTTTTCCCCTTTAAGCGGTGTGAGCATACTATTTTATTTTTTGGCTGTAGTGTAAAACCATGAGGAATGAAAGTTATAAAATCATAATATATAACAATAGGTAGTATAACATAATATGGTTAAAATGGTTAAAAAGTTATCATTTAAAAACACATTTTAAATTAACTAAAAATTCAAATTCGCATTTGTTTATTATTATTTTCAGATAAAAATCAACTTTTTTTGTTTCTTAATATCATTTGCCCTTCAAGAAGTTTTGGCAGTTACCTACGGTTATTTTTTCATCTTTACGCCTACTTAGTATACCTGGTATACTCCATTACAAAACCGATGTTTAACGATTTTTTTTTTACAGCGGAGTATAAGAAAGAGGTGGCCATCACCAGTGAGTAAACATTTCTTGCATACAAAATAACATAATAAGTTTTATTATTTTAACATCTACATGACATTTTAATAATTAACGACAGATAGACACATCGAGCTTGCAGGAGGTAAGATTTATTTAAAATTTATATACTGAAAGTCAGTTGTTTTATCATTTTTGTATGATAATAAATGATCAAAAAATAAATAAAATTAAAATTAAAGTTTTGTACAATCCGTTCAGATTGAAATAGTTCAAAATGTTAAGTACCGCAGTGTTCTAAACACTGTGAAAATACAGACGTTTTTATTATTTACTTAGAGCACACTTGGCTAATAATAGTTAGCGACTATTATTTGCCAAATCGTGGTGTACTCTTATTTTTAAGTTTTATATTTCTATTACGATTGTACTTGAATGTTATCATGTATCTCGACCAATTATTCGTTTATTCTAGATAGATTGCCGGATGTAATTGGAAATATTATATTTAAAATTACAGCGATGGGTAAGTATAATTCTAAAATAATAAAAAATTAACGGCGAGTTAGTCAGTCATAAATAATACTAGAAAATGGTATAAAAATTGCAAAGAACAATGGGCTGGTTGATTTTTAGTCTCGCTTATCAAAATCAGTCAAAGCTGTAGGAATGACAATATAATATCATAATACTACATAATATAATAAATATATAGACCCCTATATTCATAATATGGACATCCCGTTCATTGGAGTATAATATAATATTGTGCACGCCACTTGTTTTTTGCAAAAAAAAAAAAACAGTACTCACTTTCAAATAAACGCTTTTTATAATGATTTTATCACTTTCAAAATTAAAAATTCCTGCAAACCTGTGACCTCCCCGTCCCCACTATGGCCGGATTTTTTTCTTTGTTGCTTAACTTGCTATTGTTTAAAAATTCACTATTATACATTTATCTACTTATGTTATTGTTATTTCAGAAAAAATTGCTCTTATGTTAGCTGCACCAGGTAACAATATTGCTTACAGTTTATGGATGTAATTCCACATAGTTGTGTCATAAGAATTAAGAATAAAATATTTTCGTTTTGGTTTTAGAAAATATAATATCTTGCTGCCTAACAAGTAATCACCATTGTTGTGTTTATTAGTAATTATATTAGTTTATACAAGTATTGAGATTAATCATACACTTGTCTATACATTTCTATACATTAAAATATAATTGGGTTTTTATGTTTTAGAATGCAAAAATTACCAGAAAGCTATGCAAAATGAAATACTTAAAGTCACGTGTAAGTGTAAAATTTAACAATTTTCAAATTTAGTACTTAATTCCAAACAATAACGATAAAAATTCGACTAGGTACAAGTCATAACGTTATAATACGTTTTTTCGATTAAAGTTTTGTGAATTGTTTGTAATATTATTCAAATATTTGTACCATATTTTATATTGATTAATCGGTCTGAGTAATCTTAGTTATATTTAAGCAGTTTTACCTTATTTAAATATCCAAACCGGGTTATTTTTTACTCTATAATTTTTTTCATGTTTTTGTTACAGCTCAGCCTGTGCCCGATGCTGTAAACCTAAGTAATCACGCATTAATACGACATTAAAAACAGCCCTATAAACAATAAAGCACCGTTTTGTATAACACTATAATATAACATGCTTAAATAACAAACTCTTCAACCGCACAAAGCACAAGAAACAACTTTTCGGGTCATAGCACAAACGTTCTAAACTTTGAAAACATTACTGCTAAAAACTAATTTGTTTTTTATTTTTAATTAATGTTTGCTAATTACACAGTATTTTTTTGAAGATATTAGTTGGTCACAACTTGGAGTTGATAGAAGATCAAGAGTTAAACTAGCTCTGCAAGCCATAATCGCAAGATGTAAGTATACATTCAGAGTTTTAATGATTTCACTTTTTTACATGTTATATACACAGGGTGATCTATTTACTTAAATAGGCTAGGTTAGGTTAGAACGTTAGACATACAATTTCTTGGAAAACAGTTACAATTTTGTAGTTTTTCTACAGTTTGTATTTATATTACTCTGTAATATTTCAAGTATATCAAATACGTTTATTTTATAATCAGTATTTTCCAAAGCACTATCAGTTATTGAAACATAAACGGTACACATTTAAAATACCTCTTTAAACTTAGTATTAATTAAAATCAACAATATCTACAAAATCTTCTACTGAATTTTATTGAACAAGGCAAAACTTCATTTCAAATGACAATTGGTTTTTTTTCTTTAATGCTTTTGTTATAAAGTATTATTGATGTTTAATTAATTAATAATAAATAGTAGTAAAATTAATATTATACACAAAGTAAGGTTTTTTTTTTTAAATGTATTTTATACAATTTCGACGAATAAGAAGTTATGTTATGTTTGGTGTCCAGCCGTGTTTACCTATATACAAATTATCAACTAGAAGAACATAGCTGTACGATACGACCACCCTGTGTATTATATATTTTGTACACATGTGCCTAACTAAATAGGCCTTGCACGATAAACAAAATTATTGATCTAAATTTGACGAATTATTACAAAATAATTGTTTTTTTTTTTCAAGTTGAATTAGATGCAATTTTTCGTATAGCCGTCAAGATGTGTCGTCTCAAAGGATTGCTCTTGAGTATACAAAATCCCAATGCATATATTAAAAAAGTTATACTTGACGATGATGGTAAATGTGTCCTAACTGACATAGACGAAAATATTTACATACACAATTCTGTTTGGGACCCAAGTATGGAAAGTATACTTCACTCAAGTTAAACGTAAGAAGTGTTTACTTGCATCTCGGTTATAATAAATCAGACCAAGCAATTATAATATGGATAACTCATTGAAATTATGATCTACTATTGTTAATATATTGAAATAACCAAAGCGAATGTTAATGTATTTTACAATAAAAAGTTTTACTTACAAATATAATATACAAAATCTATATTATTGTATACCGGTTGATCCATTTAACGTAAGAGATTAATTTTCTTGAAAAATAAATACAGTGTGTGGTTTTTTTTTTGAAAATATTTTCATTTCTATTATTGTACATTATTTTATCAAACAACCGATTATTTACCTTGTTTTAGTATGTCGTCGCTTGAGATGCAACACTTCATATATAATTTTTCTCAACTTTACAAGAGGGCAAAAAAATCAGTTTCAAATACCATTAAATAACATTAAAATAATATAGAGGAACCGTTCCATCAGAATACTGATTCGAACAAGGAATAGATTAATAGTTAAGAGTTAAGGGAACAGCAAAATTATAAATTTCAAAGCAATTGTCCAAGCTCAAATTTAAGCATTGCCTATGCAATTGAAGGCTTGGACCCAACTAGAATTTAATTAAAATAAAACAATTCCATAAAAGAGGTTATTATTAGATAACCATTACAATATCTAATATTTGCCCTCTCGTTAAGATACTTTTAAAAACTATTCAGTACTTATTTAAATATAAATAATTTCATATATTATTTTTTGTAAATTCTATGCGCAGGTAAAAAAGTGTTGGTAACATGTAGGTTGTAGGTATATCTATACCATACCCAGCTTCTGATTGCTTGAGTAGTTAAATTTATAGTAATCATATTAATTTATGTAATGAATTATCAAAGCTAAAACTGTGCAAATCTCCCCTCATACTATTTTTTAATTATAACTACATAATTACATTATAAATCAGTTTATTAATGTTATTTTTTAAAAAAAAAGGTAATATATCAATTATTGTAAAACGTGTATACCGCAGCACCGTCTAGACTGTTAGTAAACAAAATTTTAAAAAAATGGTTTGAATCAGGTACAGTATTTTTAAGGAGGGATAAACAAAAGAATTCAATTACCCAGAAATTATCTTGTTCTCATCACATTCATATTATAATCTCTTCACCGCCTTGTGCCATAGGACATATTCGTGTCAAAAACATATTAATAAAAACGTTAGTGTGCGCAGGCATGGACCTAAATGTAAAAATAATGTATCAGTAGACTGAAATTAGTACCTCCGCTGCAGGGTAGTACAAAGGAACTAGGATATGTCTTAATATAGAAATATAGAACTCCGGGATTTTTGGTAATTTTGTACTTCCATTATTAATCTCATATCTGATTACATAATCTAATATCTTCGCTTATCTCTAGTCCTTTATCTCTGATCTCTTATCTCCATTCATTATTTTCTTATTACATTTCTCTAATATTAATAGACGTGACGCATTAAAGCAATAACTCAAATGAAAGCTGAAACTCCACTATGTATATATTATATGAATCATTATGAAATATATTTGCATATGCCAACTGAAAAAACAACACTAATATTTTATTGTTTCGGTCGACATAAAAGCCATCGACGAGTCGTAAGGAAATCATTTTAAAATAGACAGTTTAATAAGCCAATCAAATTGATCGTATTGTCTTTTAAATTTGTGTTATTTCAATATTTTTAAAAAGTAACACGATTCGACTTTAATGATTGTAAGTACAACTTTAATACATTTTTTATGATGAGTTTTTACAAGAATTTGCGAAAAATCTTTAACCACTAGGTCGTTTTAGTTAATTATAAATAATGTTATTAATACTACACAAATGTTGTACCGATTCAAATTATTTTTCAGAAATAGTATTATGAATATACTTAGACACACTAAAAGTACATTATAACGTTTTTCCTTTAAAGGGGTGGAAACATAGTATTTATTTGTTCTTTAGGTGCAGATTAAGCAATTTAAGTATGATATACTGAAGGTAGATCTAGAGTGAGATTATAAAATAGTATAAAATTTGCTCTAAAAAACTTTGTTTTATGGTTTTTCAAAAAAAAAATTATACATTTAATCTAGTAAATCACTATAAATAAAAGCTAACGACCACAAAGAATTACTACTGAATTGCATAAATGCATCTCAAATGCATCATAAATGCTCATTGGCATTGCTTATTGGCGACATACTCAATACAAATGACTTTTATGTTTATTATTATTTGCAGATGAAAATTAAATTTTTTTGTTTCATAATATCATTTGCCTTTGTTAATGTTTTGGCTGATATTACTGGTAATTTTTACATTTTTACACGTGCCTAGTTTGTCTTCAACACTTGAGCACGTTAAAAGCTAAAAAAAAGAACTAACAATTTAATGTTTTTTTTTTTTTTTTAGAGGAATATAAGAACGCAATTGCCGTTACAAGTGAGTAAAAATATTTTACATTCAAAACAACTCGACAAGTTTTAAAGTTTCAATGTTTTAATACTTACATATTTTAATAATTAATGACAGACAAACACATCGACCTTGCAGGAGGTAAGATACTAAGATGAATTTAAAATCGATATACTAAAGGCTAGTTTTACTGGAAACCTATTTTGTACACTCAATAGTTCTCAATCCATTATCGGTATATTCCAGATAGATTGCCAGACGTTATAAGAAATATTATTTTTGGACGTGCACCGATGGGTAATCATAAAACAAAAATCCCTAATACTGTAAATTTATAAATTGAATTTATTGTTATTTCAGAGAAAATTGCTTATATGTTAGCCGCACCGGGTAACAAATAACAATATGTCATAGTTACCTCATAATAATTATTAAGAATAAAATATTTTCGTTTTTAATTTCAGAATTAGCACATTCTCGTTCCATAGCAAGTAACCACTCATGTTGTATTTAAAAGTTATAATGTTTACACAGAGACATATATAAATTATGCACATATGACATGAATACAAAAATATATAGGTAAACATTAAAATATATTCCATTTTTTTGTTTTAGAATGCATAAAATACCAGACTGATTTGCAAAAAGAAATAGCTATGGTCACGTGTATGTACTTATACAGTTAACATTTTTCGAGAACATGTTTTAAAATTTAGAACCATTTTTTTACATTAATTAATTGGTCTAAACTCTAAGTAATATAAGTTTTATTGTGACAATTAAACCTTAATTATATAAAAAAAATCTGGTTTTTGTTTACTCTATAATTATTTTATACTTTTGTTACAGCTATCCCTGTGCCGGATGTTGAAAACCTAAGTAATCACACATTTATTTGATGTACAAAACAGTCCTTTAAACAATATACCTAGTATTGTTTTGTATAAATCTATAATATAACAGACTTAAATTAAGACCCTTCAATCGTTCAAAGTGCAAAAGCCAACTTTTCATGTCATAGGACAAACGTTCTAAACTTTGAAAACATCACTGCTAAGAACTTGAAAGTTAGTAATTGCTCAAAAGGGTATATACAGTTTTTTTTTATATACAACTTGAAAAAATTAAATAGTTTTACTTAAGTATCTATTTCGAATACTGATAAAAAACTGGTTAAACTAACACAAACAAAAAAAGCATTCGTTGATAAATCCTGTACGATCAAACACTGGTCGAACCCATAAACTTTAGCTTCTCATCGACCATTGTTGGTTTGTATAACGTCACTATGAACAACTAATTTGTTTTTTATTTTTAGTTAATATGTGTTATTAACATAGATATTTTAAATATTTTGAAGATATTAGTTGGTCACAACTTGGAAATGATAGAAGATCAAGAGTTAAAGTAGCTATGGCAACTCTAATCGAAAATAGTAAATATCCATTTATAGTTGTAATGATTTTCCATTAGTTTATTTAGGTTTGGTGAAAAAGTAAGTCACTTATTTTCTCGGAAAATAATTTTCAACTTTGCAGTTTTTCTTTTAATAAATATTTATATTACTAAACATAGGAACATGGGTGTGTTTGAAAATTTGTACTTTTGTGCACATTTGTTATTTTTGTACTTCTATTATCAACCTCTTATCTTTGGTCTAGTCTAAATGATTGAGAAATAAGCCATAATCATATTGACAAACTAATGAAATGTAAACGTTACTGTTTAAGTTTCAAAAGTCACCCCACCATCTCATTAATTTACTGTTTCTTGATGAAAAAAACATAAAATATTATTATTTGATAAAAACTAAAAAAGCAAGCTATGAAATTTTTAATACCCAAACACAATACAAACACAAATACATATATTATTAAAATATATTTATTTCAATAATAATTTCTAAAAAATAATAATATTTTAATATTTTAATAATAATATTTTTCTCAATTAATGTTAAATTTTGCTGTTTTAATACAATTTTAAATTGAGACCCTCGTCTATCGATCACAAGGTTATCTATGCCTTAGTGGTAGACTAAACAGTGATTTTTCTGATAAAAAATGAATGTAACATTTTTAAACTATTGATAAAACATTTATTATTTTTATGACTTAATAGTTAATAACGCATAGCTAATAAATCAAGAATATAGAATAAAGACTACTGGAGTATAAATGCGTATACTATATAACAAATGTAGTCACCAATAACAAATAATTTAACACAATATCCTCTATTGAGTTTTATTGAACAAAATGACAATGCCTTTTTTTATAAATGCTTCTGCTGTATTACTGAAATTTATGGTTAATACAGTCAACGTTGTAATTCGTTCATTACAACATTTATAAAGATTCCTTGGTGTAATTAATTTTTTTCCCATAAGGTCTCATACAGGCCATATATTGTATTATTTGTTATGCATATATTTTAGTTGTTACTTGTTTCTTGCACAATAAATAAAATGGTAGCTACCATTAAGCTTAATTTGACAAATTACTAAAAATGATGTTTTTATTTTTTTAGTTGATAGAGAGGGATTATTTACTATGGCTAAAAAGGTATGTCGTTTCAAAGGATTGATCTTGAGTATAGATAGGCCAACTGCATATATAAAAAATGCTAAACTTGACAATGCCGGTTTTTGTGTCCTAACTTCTATAAACAACAGTTCGTGCACACTTAGTCCTTTTTGGGAACCAAGACTGGCAACAATACTTTTTTCGTGTTAAATGTGAAAAATAATTTCTCAACTTGTTGAAATTTTAAAGTGCTATTAATAATATATTAAAATAACCAAATCGAATGTTGCTGTATTTTATAATAAAAAGTATTTCTCACGCTTACCACAGATTTGTTGCTCTTTACCATAATAATATATAGATTTTATTTGATTTTATACCGGCTGATCCATTTAACGACTTAGAGAAGGGAGGACTTAGCACACCAAGTTTATTTTTTTGTAAAAAAAAAGTTAACATTTAGTTTTCAAGCCCGCTAGACGCTAGAACTTATATAAATAGAGTTTTTACAATGTTTCGCCAAACCAAATAAAACCAACCAATTTAAATAATGTCACTTTTATATTACTCATAGTTTGTTACTAATACTTTTTTAAACTTAAATTTTGAAATAATTTTATATTATTAACCTTTAATTTTGAAACAAACCTCAGGCATTTAAAAAAAAATTACTTCTATACAACAAGATTCTCTAAAAAAACAAATATTTTTACAAATAACTTCACTTGACTCATTCAAATATCTTATCTAAACTACCTATATAAAACTTAATCTATACTCAGAGATTTGTTACGCTTATGAAGTTTGTCGAGCTGAACCTTAATGGATAATTATAGAACTAAATATAAACTCAATATTGAATTTATAATTAATCGATAAGAAAAAATTATTGTTTTTGTAAAGATTATTTAAAAACAATAGTTTTAGGTTTATTAAGACTATATTAAAAATTAATTTAAAAAACACACACAATCGTGTAATTTTCTCGTAGTAAGTAGTGCAATAGAAAACAAATATTATAGTTTTAAAAATAAATAAATAAAATAATGACACTTGGAGTATAGAAAAAATGTACCATAAAAAAAAACTAACAATATTTGTTATTTGTCGCAGCTGCGTCTACTTTAACTGATGTCTGAAATAAATTTTACTAAAACTAGTTGGCATACTTAAAATGTGTTTGATGTAATAATGGAATACGATACAAATGTTTAATACAACCAAAATCATATTACTAAACAATAAAACCAAATGTTATAATAACATTATAACCTGATCATATGAATTTAAAAAATAACCTCTCCTTCCCCTCCCCTCCCTATAGCTGCAATCTCTTATTCTTCACTCCATTTGTGGCACTTTTTTTTTATTAAAAATATCGAAATAATATATGTTTAAAACTGTACATAGCTTTATTATCCGTTTTGGTTAAGTTTGATTAGGTTAGATGCCATAGTAACAATAGGCAATGTCGTATCAACGGTATTTGTTGAGTCACTACTAACAAAACAGCAACCTAGAAATTTACAGTCTTCGACTAAAATTTAATTTCCTCCTTTTTTTTGGCTTTAAACCATAAAAAAAAAAAATAAACAAAGACTTCTGAGATAATTGTTTGTGTTGTAACTCCACATCGGTAAAATTTATATTATAAAAAACAATACCTATCGATTACTTATTTCTCAGGTTCGCATAATATTTGTAAAGTCTACTGCACCTTAAAATAAAGCCTAAAATGCCATGTGCAATAAAATAATTAAAATTTCCTAATGCAAGCATTTGTTTGTACAAGTGATTGCTAAAGCAATAACTCAGAGGAAAACTAACAAATCCGCTATGTACACATGATATGAATCATGATAAAATAATATATTTGCATGTTCCAACTGAAAAAACAACACTAATATTTTACTATTTCGGTCAGCATAAAAGCCATCGATAAATCGCGAGAAAATCATTTTAAAACAGATAGTTTAATTAGCCTATCGAATTGATCATATTGTCTTTTAAATTTTTGTTATTTCAATATTTTAACTAAGTAATACTATTCGACTTCAATGGTTGTAAGTACGCTTTTTATAGTTTTTTAGGCCACAACACGTCCACGTAAAAAGCTTTTGTTTTTATTATTGTTTGTAGATCAAAATGAACATTTTTTGTTTTTTAATATCGTTGGCATTTGAACATGTTTTGGCAGTTACCTATGGTAATTTATTTTTATTTTTACACGTACCAAGTATACGAGTACTTATCTTATATACTCGAGGCTGTGAACAAATTAAAACCAAACCAATATTTCACGTTTTGTTTTTTTTTTTTTTACAGCGGATTATAAGAAAGAGTTTGCCGTTACAAGTGAGTAGACATTTTTTTCGTATATATAGAAATATAAAATAACTTAAAAAGTTCCAATGTTTTAATGTGTATATGTTTTAATAATTATGACAGACAAACACATCGAGCTCGTAGGAGGTAAGATGTATCTAAAGTTAATACACTGAAAACCAATTGTTTTGTCATGTTTGTTGGACTATCAAATGATAAAAAAAAAATCAAAATTAAAGTTTTTCTTTCTAAGCGCTGTGTAAATACAGACGTTTTTATAATTTACTTACAGCACACTCGGCTTTTAATAGGTAGTGACTACTTAAGATAACATACAAGTAGCATCAATTTAAAATGTCGCCTCTAAATGACTGTGTACTCTTATTCTTAAATTTTATATACAGGGTGATCCACTTATCGTGAACCAGTCATTTCCCAACCGCACTTCCCCTCCCATCCTAACTTTAAAACAGTTATCCGAAACTGGATTATCGACCAGTCAAAATTTTAAGTACATTATTCTCAATTTGAAAAGTTAATAATATATAAACGTTAACATTTAAGTTTCGTATGTTGCTATCAAAAATATAAAGTTAGAAGGGGGTTAAAAACACAAAAAAAATTGTGAAAAATTGAGATCACATTGTATAAAAAAAATAAGAAAAATTTTTTTTTTTTTAACCCCATGAGATATTAAGTGGTTCACTATAAGTGGATCACCCTGTATCTGTAACGATTGTACTTGAATCTTATTTTGTACATTGACCCTTTATTTCTTTATTTTAGATAGATTGCCGGACGTGATTAGATGTATGATTTTTGGACATTTTCAGATGGGTAATAATAATTGTATAATAATACAAATAGAATTGATTAGTTAGTTAGTCGAAATGAATACTAGAAAGTGGTATAAAAATTGCATCGACCATTTATTTGTATACTAAATGGTCAGTGTGATAAATACATCTTAATATAGATTTACTATACATTTTAATGGGATATTTCTTAAGTATAAAACTTCTTAAAACAGGTAGTGATTTAAGGGTGATTTAATTACAACTATTAATATGGGGGTTGGTAGGCAAGCTATCATAGATTTTAAAATAATAAAATATATAAAATGGGTAACGCACCGTATTGGTATCGACAAATTAATATTTTGAGCAATGTAACTCCAAAAGAAGTTTACTTTATCTGTAATACCACGCACAGTATTTTTTTAAAAATTATTCTGTTACAATTTATAAAAGAATGAAAAATAAATAAAAATAAATTTATGTTATTTCAGAGAAAATTGCTTATATGGTAGCTGCGCCAAGTAACAATATTCCTTACAATTTATGGATTTAATTCCACATATTTGTCTCGTAATACTTAAGTATAAAATATTTTTGTTTTGATTTTAGCATCTGTAAATTATCGTATCATACCAAGTAAGTCTTATACTTATATATATATATATATATATATATATATACCTATATATAATGTATATATATATATATATATATACATTATATATAGGTACAGAGTCTCCAACAATGATTCTACAAATGAATTAAATTTTGTTCTTGTGAATATTTTCAAGATTTTTTTTTTAATTGATTTATTCTCATTTGCGATTTAAACACCACGATTTGTATCGCTTGCATCTGTTTTACTTTTTTCACTAGAATAAATGATATTTTGTTTGTCGAATCTTCGTGGGACACCCTGTATATACCCTGAGATTAATCATACACATGTCTACTAATTTCTATCATACAATTTGTAGATATACCACTTTTATTGTAATTAATAGTTACAATAGTTTACACAGAGTCCTATATTATACATTATGTGCATATTATGACATTAATCATAAAAAATATAGACAAACATTAAAAAGTATTTCTTTTTTTTTTATACATGTTAGAATTGATAAGATACGAGACTGATTTACGAATAGAAATAATGTACGTCACATGTAAGTATAAAATATAACGTTTTTCGCGAACAATTTTCAAAATTCATACTTATTTAGTTTTAAGCAATATTTTACAATGATTAATTGGTCTAAGTAATATAAGTTTTATTGTGACAGTTAAACGTTAATTATACATAAAAATCTGTTTTTTCTTTACTCTATAATCGCTTTATACATTTGTTACAGCTACCCCTGTGCCGGTTGTTGAAAACCCAAGTAAAAACACATTTATTTGACGTACAAAACAGTCCTTTAAACAATACAGCACCGTTTTGTATAAATCTATAATATAACAGGCTTAAATTAAGACTCTTCAATCGTACAAAGTACAAGAGCCAACTTTTCATGGCACAGCACAAACGTTCTGAACTTTGAATACATCACTTCTAATAACTTAAATGTAGTAATTATTCAAATGGGTGAATACAGATTTTTTCATACACAACTTTAAAAGTCGAATAGTTTTACCGAAGTATCTATTTCGAATACTGATAAAAAAAAACAGGTTTAACTTACAAAAAAGCATTCGTTGACAAATCTTGTACGATCAAACACTGGTCAAGCCCTAAAACATTAGCTTCTCATTTGTCCAATGTTAATTTCAAAATTTGAATGTGTAATAAGTATAAGTTATTTGAGTTTCGAGTACCCGAAGATTACTTTCTTAGGCTATCAATACTTTTGGCAGATAGCGCACCAAATTGCGACTCTTAGAAATTGAAAGTATAATAATATATGAGCAACTAATTTGTTTTTGTATATTTAGTAATTATATGCTATTACCAATGTAATTTTCGATTTTTAGCAGCTATTGGTTGGATAGACCTTGGAAAAGATCGAATCTCGAGAATTAATGTAGCCCTGCAAGCTATAATCGCCACTAGTAAATATCCATATAATAATATGTAGAGTTGTAACGGTTTGACTTTTTTGCGTGTATACAGGGTGATTCATTTGTGCAGTATGATTAGGTTAGAACGTTAGACACTCATTTTCTGGAAAATCAATTACAATTTTATTGTTTTTCTATAAGTATTTTTTGGAGCACTATCAAGTTTTAAAACTTAAACGGTTAGGCATTTATTAAGCATCATTGATGTAATTAATAAGAAATAGTAGTCAAATTAACTATAAAACAAACTACATTTTTTTTTAATGTATTTTATATCATTTCGACTAAAAGTAACATGGCTGTACAGTACGAACACCTTGTATATTGTTATATTTTTCTACAAAATGTGTTTTGCACGGGTTTTAGTTATGTCTTGCACTATAAATAAAAGTTGTAACCATTTGACAATTTACCAAATGAAATGTTTTCATTTTGTTTTAAGTTGAAACAGATGCACATTTTGCTTTGCCGATCATGATATGTCGTTTGAAAGGAATGCTCTTGAGTATGAATCAGCCCAGTGCACGTATTATAAAAAATGTCAAGTTGGACGATGCTTATAATTGTGTCCTAACTGCTGTAAACAACGATACATATATTCTCACTGCTGTTTGGGAGCCAAGCATGGCAAGCATACTTCAATCGAGTGAAATGTAAAAAAGCGTTCACTTGCCACTCGGTTATGACGAAACACATCAAGCATTTAAAATATGGACAACTCATTGAAATTACCAACTGCTATTGTTAATATATTGAAATAACCTAAGCGAATGTAATGTATTTCATAATAAACAGTCTTGCTTACGATTATTATACTACAAAACGTCGATTATTTCTATTTACCTTTCTACCCTCCCCTGGGGAGCATATCACCCCTCCCTAAATCCTCTTACCGAAGGGAGAATAAATTGCAATGGCATTAAAACACCATTGTACGGATAAAAACCAAAAATGTTTCACATAAGTGGTTTTTTTCATGATTTTAGAAAATAGCTAATAAGTCAAGTGGGCCATGAAAATTTAAATCCCACGTAGGTATTTCTCAACGTTAGGTGCACATTATTGTAACGCAAGCTCAGTATAGGCAAACATTGGATTTATGTAAACATTTTTTTTTATATGTAAACATTGAGTTTGGTTTGACTTTTGAATATCGCACGCGGATGTGCAAAATTATTCAAAAACCTTACTTTCTAACAATTAAAATAATCTCTACATTGTCTTATAAACCCGTGGGATCCTTGGTGGACTTATTGATCTAAAACGAGACAACTAATTTTTTGAAAATTATCCACCGACTATAAAAATGTGCCGTCGCTTTAAATATTTTGAAATTGAGAGGAACACAAACAATGGGCGTTTTTACAATTGATAAAACTTTTATAGAATTGAACACTCCAACCAAATGTTTTCATCGTGGTTCAAAGATGGAATAAGTGAAACAGTTAGGATTTTAGCACCGATGCAGAGCAAAAATGTCTACAGTTTATTTGCAAAACGGTTACATGTAGTAAAATAAGAATAAGAAACTAGGTCTTGGTAAAATTGTAATTAGGAGTACAACGACAAAAACAATCGCCCATTCGGTGTAGTACCCAAGAACCGAGAAAAACACTTGTTAAAACAATGTACATTGCGAAAATATTATACTGCTATTCGCCTACGTATGAATAATGTCAATTTTTTTTTACAGGGCCTTGTAGATATGTTTAAAAAAAACAGACACTGTCAACCATACACCGTCACGGCACGTATGAATACATTTTATTTTTCCGCCGTGCGTTTTTCTCAGTTCTTTATCGAACGACTTAACAGTGTTTTTACGCAACTATTAGATTAACAACCGTTTGTAATAATTACAAGATGCAAAAAATCACAAATGTTTTTATAATTGCCATTATCCTGGGAATATCGTTGGGTAAGTAATTATTTGTGTTTGTACTTTTACAACACTTCATTCTCGGTTAAGACTTAAACGTATCCAACAAAATGCCATATCGATGGAATTTTATTATTTCAATGCATCCATATACATCATTCCATCGCCAACACTAAATGTATTATGCGAGTATGAATTTATATTGTTAATTTTAGAAACATTTATTATTTCCTGTCATTTTGCATATAATATTTTTGGTGACTTGTTTTACCCCGTTGTATGCGTAATGGCAGTCGATTGCAATTTAAAAAAAAAAAGGGTTTTTGGTTTTGAAATCTAAAACTTTCAATTCAATAAATAACAGCATTTTTAGGCCTTTAGTCCAAAAATATTTCCATTTCTGCCATTTCCCCTCCTTGCCCTTTATTAGGTGACTACTTGAAATGTATTTTTTAACGATACAACTTTGATACGCAGCTGAATAGTATTTGTATTACAGTGTAGTGTTTTTGTTTATTGATTTTTAACGTGTCTAATGCCTCAAACTCATATATCCTATGCAAACAGTTCCAAAAAATCGAAAAGAAAAAAAAATTGTAAACAAATTTTTGGATTTGGGCGATGCTATATTCTTTAAATTTATTGTAAAAACACCTTAAGTTCACGACCGTATTACTTAATAAATATAAAATAATTATAACATCGAAATAGAATTTTCACTGAACAGTTATTTTTTTCATATCATCCCTAAACAATTTTTTTTTCTAATTTTTAAATAGCTTAAAATTGTAAAAAAAATTCAAAATTGTGTACATTTCATTCGTTTTTATGCTGAATCAAGTTTCAAATAAAAAAAATATGTATATATTTTATCCTAACACGACTAACTACACTCTTTTGATCATATTTTTTTTTTATGATGTAAAAGTAACTTTAAAGTTTGGCGTTTTACTAAAAGTTGCATTATTTATAAGCTTATAACGTTTTAGGGCGGGTATAAAATTTTGAAATTTGTTCAGCACTTACTAATATGTATGTAAAACATCTGGTAAAAGTTTGGTAATGCAAACATATTTTCACTACAAGTTGTATGAACTGAATTTTTCGAATTTCGTATTTTAGAACTACACATAACATATTTTTATTCAAGTTCTTACAACTCCTAGTAAAATTAAGTTTCAAAACTTTTACCAGTAAGTAATGTATAAATTCTATAGTTTTCAGTTCAATTTAGAAAGACTTAAAATTATTCAACAAATTGCCATTATGATGACATATTATTATTTCAATGCACTCATACATCATTCCATCGCCAACACTAAATGTATAAAATATATTGTTAATTTTTTTTTTTATTTAGTCGCACAAAGCCAGCCACCTCCAAATGGTAAGCTACAATTAACGGCACGTTATACATTTTGCATAGTGTTTTTATACAAACTTTTTGTCCCGATGGCGGTAAAGACTGGAAAACCGTGAAATTTTGCATTTTGAAAGCTTTTTCGGATTGATTAACTTGAAATTTAATATACACTTAGTATATTGCAATTTCTTACCGACAGGCCTGGGCAATTTTTTTTTAAATATAAACAATAACAAATTGCAATACAGAACTGATCTCGAAATTAATGGAAAAAATTATGATTTTTAGAAACTTTTATTATCTCCCATCATTTTGCATGTAATATTTTTGGTGACTGATTTTACCCCGCTGTACGTGTAATGGCAGTCGCTTGCAATTTTTAAAAAAAAGGATTCATAGCTTTAAAAATCTGAAACTTTCAGTTGAATTTTTAACAACATTTTAAGTTCCAAAGATATTTCGATTTCCGCTATTTCCCCACACTGCCCTTTACTAGGTGTCTCAATTGTACAATTTGTTGAATTATAGATGGCGAGAGTTCAAAACTTTCAATCGCAAAAGGCAAGTATAAGTTTTAATTACCTACTGTACATGGGTTATTCTATGCCAAATCATCTGATGTGTGTTCATGTGGATTTCCGAAATACCTCAAACTCATATTATATCCTATTCAAATAGTTCCGTAAAATCGAAAAAAGGAAAAAAAAAATCTTTTTTTGGATTTAGGCGATACTAAATTCTTAAAATTTATTGTAAAAACACCTAAGTTCACGACCGAGTTACTTAAACAATAATTATAATATCGAAATAGAATTTTCATTGAACAATTATAATTTAAGTGTTCTTTTTATAATATATCTAAACAACTTTTTTATAATTTTTATGTAGCTAAAACTTGGGAAAAAATTCAAAATTTTATACATTCATTAATTTTTATGCTGACTCAAGTTCAAAATTTAAAAAAAAATCTACATTCTGACACGACTTACACATGTTACAACTACACATATTTGATTCATACATTTCTTTTTTTTGTATAAAGTAACTTTAAAGTTTGGCGTTTTACTAAAAATTGCAATATAAGTACATATAGGTATGTGATGTACAAATTCCAGAGTTTCTGGTTCAAGCCCTAAGAAGTTATTGGCTCTTTTGTACAGCACTTTCATTAAAATGCCAAACTTTGAAGTTACTTATAAATAATAAACAAAACAAAATTATGAATCAAAGGAGTAAAGTTTGGTGTGCTAAAATAAAATACTTTTTTTTTTTAAATCTTTGACCTTGATACTTATTTTTACTACGAGATGCACGAATTGTATTTTTCCATATTTCTTTGTACAATGTTATATTGTAACCTCGTCAATGTACCTCTGCCAAAAAAAAATACCAATCAATTTTTCAATTATTGTAAAACAACACAATTTTATATTTGATCATCATTTTTAATAAAATTTAATAGTAATATTTCTCGTTTAAACGATTAGGTATTGCAGTAACCGCATATAAAGAACTACTGGATGCCATGGAGAAAGTATACAATTTTCTTTCAGACAAAATCCATGGTTCTGATTATTCAGGTACTTATTTAATGATATTAATAAATAGAAAAATAATGATAAATAACGTGTAGGGGTACAAATGATAAAAAAAATATAACAATAGGTAACTTGCACTTACTGAGTGGGCTTTTTAAACGTCTTAACAATATTTTAATACGTTTTTTAGGCGTCGATCGCAGAGTCCTTCAAGATGGAATAGAAGATGATGCACCTACACGTACGTAGTTAACAGCAAATAATAATTAACAAGATATAGGCAAATAAAATAAACACATAATTATATATAAAATTACAAAGGGAAGCTCGAAAAATGTCCACAAGAGTAACTTACCAGAAAAAAAAAATACCTAGAATACATTTTTACAGTTATTGCGGCACATGATTTAAATTTGACTGTGATTTTTAATATTGAACAATTCAATAGTACCTATGTGTTTCGCGTTTAAACGATTTGTGTTTGCAGCATGGGAAAATTTGTTAGATTCAATAAAGAAAATGCGCGTTTGTATTGAAGATAAACTCGTTTATACAGGTACTTATTTGATGATATAAATAAACAGCAATATAAAGCAAAAGTAAACTCATATATCCTATGCAAATAGTTCCAAAAAATCGAAAAAACAATTGTAAAACATTTTTTTGGATTTGGACGATTCTTTAAATTTATTGTAAAAACAACAAAGTTCACCACCGAGTTACTTAATAAATAATTATAATTTTGAATTTTCACTGAACAGTTATAATTTAAGTGTTTTTTTTTCATAGCATCCCTAAACCATTTTTTTTCTAATTTTTAAGTACCTTAAAATTGTAAAAAAATTCAAAATTTTATACATTTCATTCGTTTTTATGCTGACTCAAGTTTAAAATTAAAAAAAAAAAAATTTTTTAGTCTAACGCGTCTAACTACACTCTTTTCATCATATTTGTTTTTATGATGTAAAAATAACTTTAAAGTTTGGCGTTTTACTAAGAGTTGCAATATTTATAAGCTTATTGCGTTTTAGGGAGGATATACAATTTTGAAATTTGTACAGCACTTACTTATATGTATGTAAAACATCTGGTAAAAGTCTGGTAATGGAAACTTATTTTCACTACAAGTTGTATGAACTTGAATTTTTCAAATTTCGTATTTTAGAACTACACATAACAAATTTTTATTCAAGTTCTTACAACTTCTAGTGAAAACAAGTTACAAAACTTTTACCAGGTGTTCAATATACATTTTAGTAAGTGATGTACAAGTTTCATGTTTTTAGTACAATTTAGAAAGACTTAAACTTATCCAACAAATTGCCATATTGATGACATTTTATTATTTCAATGCAACCATACATCATTCCAACGCCCACACTAAATGTATGAATTATATTATTTTTTTTTTTAATATTTAGTCGCACAAAGCCAGCCACCTCCAAATGGTAAGTTAACTGCACGTTAAACGTTTTGCTCAGTGTTTTTTACCAACTTTTGTCCCGATGCCGGTAAAGACTGGAAAACCGTTAAATTTTGCATTTTGAAAGCTACTTCGGATTGATTAACTTGAGATTTAATATACACTTAGTATATTGCAATTTTTTGCCGGCAGAACTTATTAATTTTTTATTTAAATATAAATAATATCAAGCGCAATAAAGAACTGATCTCGAAATTAATGGAAAAAATTATTATTTTTAGAAACTTTTATAATTTCCTATCATTTTGCATGTAATATTTTTGGTGACTGGTTTTACCCCGCTGTACGTGTAATGGCAGTCACTTGCAATTTTTTTAAAAAAGGGTTCATAGTTTTAAAAATCTGGAACTTTCAATTCAATAAATAACAACATTTTTAGTTCCAAAGATATTTCGATTTCCGCTATTTCCCCACACTGCCCTTTACTAGGTGTCTTAATTGTACAATTTGTTGAATTATAGATGGCGAGAGTTCAAAACTTTCAATCGCAAAAGGCAAGTATAAGTTTTAGTTACCTACTGTACATGGGTTATTCTATGCCAAATCATCTGATGTGTGTGCAAGTGGATTTTCTAAATACCTCAAACTCATATTATCCTATTCAAATAGTTCCGTAAAATCGAAAAAAGGAAAAAAAAACATTTTTTTGGATTATATTCTTTAAATTTATTGTAAAAACACCTAAGTTCACGACCGAGCTACTTAATAAATAATTATAATATCGAAATAGAATTTTCACTGAACAATTGTAATTTAAGTGTTCTTTTTTATAATATATCTAAACAACTTTTTTATAATTTTTAAGTAGCTAAAACTTGGAAAAAAATTCAAAATTTTATACATTCATTAATTTTTATGCTGGCTCAAGTTCAAAACTTTTAAAAAAATGTATATTCTGACACAACTAACTACACATGTTTGATTCATAAATTTGTTTTGTATAAAGTTACTTTAAAGTTTGGCGTTTTACTAAAAATTGCAATATAGGTAAGTGATATACAAATTCCAGTTTTTGGTTCAAGCCCTAAGAAGTTTTTGGCTCTTTTGTACAGCACTTTTCATTAAAATGCCAAACTTTGAAGTTACTTATAAATAATAAACAAAACAAAACTATGAATCAAAGGAGTAAAGTTTAGTGTGCTAAAATAAAATATATTTTTTTTTAAAACTTAGACTTTGATACTTTTTTTACTACGAGCTGCAAGAATTGTATTTTTCCATATTTCTTTGTACAATGTTATATTGTAACCTCGTCAATGAACCTCTGCCAAAAAAAAATACCAATAATTTTTACAGTTATTGTAAAACAACACAATTTTATATTTGATCATCATTTTTCATAAAATTTAATAGTAATATTTCTCGTTTAAACGACTAGATATTGCAGTAACAGCATATAAAGATCTACTGGATGCATTGAAGGATGCATACAATTTTCTTTCAGACAAAATCCATGGTCCTGTTTATTCAGGTACTTATTTAATGATGTCTATAAATAGAAAAATAATGATAATTAACGTGTAGGGATACCAATGATAAAAAATATATAACAATAGGTAACGTGCACTTACAAAGTGCACTATTTAAACGTCTTAACAATGTTTTAATACGTATTTAGACTTCGTAGACGGAGTCCTTCAAGGTGGAAAAGAAGATGTTCCACCTACACGTACGTAGTTAACAGTAAATAATAATTAACAAAATATTGGCAAACAAACTCTTTTTGCACAAATTAAATAAACACATAAAATTTGACTGTCATTTTTAATATTAAGCAATTCAATAGTACCTATTTGTTTCGCGTTTAAACGATTTGTTTTTGCAGCATGGGAAGATTTGTTAGATTCAATAAAGAAAATGCGCGATTATATTGAAGACAAACTCACAGGTACTTATTTGATGATATAAATAAACAGCAATATATAGCAATAGTAAACTATATAAACGAACAAAACGTCATAATCTCTTTAAAAATTATACGCCTAATTATAGGAAAATATCATTGATAATTTATTACTCAACAGTAAAAACATTACAACCCACGAGGTCTAATGTTGACTAAGACGTTTCACGAACAGATCGGTTTGCAATACACTCACTAATTTATATATTTATGTTTTAGTGGAAGCAGAAGATACTCACGGAGATTAAATAAGGTAAGGTTTTTTTTTAGGAGTTTTATATTTGTTATTATTTATTTATTTTTATTTGTATAACATGTCGCTGGTTAATATTAACTGTACACTTACAATGCTTGCATAGCATGTTATACTGTATCATAATAATAATAATTGGTTTTATTTTAGGCATTCAAATATGGGTTGCTTACCTGATCCGACCTGAACACAAATATAATTCCATTATTTAAAACAACTTTTATTGACTTTTTAATAAAACTATGTATATTTTGTGTGTTATGTCTAATTTGTAACGAGCAATAAATGTGCAAAATGATGCGTTTAAGTTTTATTTTAAGAATAAATATATTAAAATTTTTAGTAAATAGTCAAAACTGAAATCTAACGAGTCTTTAACTCAGGCTCATTTGGTTAAAACCCGAGGCCGGACACAAACGTTTCAAAATCGCTTATTGTTTAACCGAATGTATCCGTTCGTTTAATACACATAAAAAAAGCGAAACAATGAATTGTCCGATACTTAAATAATTACAATAAAAAAAAATAATTAAAAACAATTATTTATTTGTTCACGGCCTAACACCGCAAAACGTCGCCCCTAAAAAAAACCGCCTCCCATTAATGCCAACACTGATAATATGTGTATACAATTTGACGATTATTAACGGTGTTAGCTGTGCTGCCAGCATGACATATTATTAAGGAGTAAATAGTAATCATCCATCACACGTGATCATATTAATTTTTACACATTAATTATTATATTTAAATGACGATTGTCAATGGCATATACCTGTGCTGTTGGTGAGAATTTTCAAAGCTTTTTTAATTTTCAGTCAATATTACAAGTGTCCATAGGAAGAATATGGTAAATTATTATGGAATTCTATAAGAGTCTTTTTACGATGAAATGGTATTTGAAAGAACTTTTTTTTCTCCTATGAAAACGATAAAAACGTAGGTACTTGAGAAATTCTATGCTCCACAATAATCTATCTGCCTTAAGCATACTTAATATATAGAAAACTATATAGAAAACTGAAGCATAATGTTGACGATATTATAACCACTTTTACTGAATGTCATTACTATAGACACATATTGTTAAAATATTTTAACTATAAAATAAATATATGCTGAAGTTTTTTTTCTGTTATTTTTATTTTTACTATTTCAATTGTATAATTTAAACGTAGGTACATTAATGATATTATTATAAGAATATGTAATTTTAAACTTGTACTTTGAATTGTGCTGTTCTTAAAGTAAGATAACCTTGTTCCGATACTATCATATTAGTTTTTATTATAAAACATAAATGAATGTAAGTATTTAAACTTTTTAAAAAAAACTGTACGATTAACAAATTCTAAATTTATTAAATTAAAATAGACTTTAATTTTAATAATCTGTAATAATTGTTTAAAAATATTTTTTTATATTTTTTATTGAAATAATTTAATAAAACAAGCCTAATGGTGTACGATTTGGTGTTAAATCCTAATACATGGAGATTTATTATTGTTCTAGTCAAAACAATTTGCGGACACCCGTAGCCACTCCTCACCCTTCCGTCTGTCTATACTCTGGCGCCGAAGTGGTGGCTTTTATTTTTTGTTTCGGTTATGAAGATGATACAATATACAGAGTGTGCCAAACGCTCATTGACAACCGAATATTTATTAACTCAATTACTACAAAAAAAAACCCAATTTTCGGGGGCTCGATTTCAGCCTAATAATTAACCTATATAAATTAAAAAAAAATAAAAATTTATGAGCTAACTAACAATAATATACTACTTTTATTCGAATAAACAACAAACATATTTGGGTCTTTGTGTGCACGTACTGTATACCATTATTTAGATATTTCGTATCTTGTATTTTTAATCTTCTGTCCCTCACTATATAGCTACATAAATTTATATAAATACTAATAACGAAAAAGGCGAGAATTATTTATAAATTAAAAGCAGAAAAAACTGAAACCAAAAATCCACATCTACTTAATTCGTTTTCATAGTTCATTCGTATTTTTCTCAAGAGTCCGAATACATGTCACACATACGCCTCATTCCAATTTTTCTTTGTATAATAGGATAATCTTAAAGTATTTTACAAAATAAATAAAATATATTACATTATTTTTATATCCACTGTAATACTGTAAAATATTTACTATCGGAATTTAATTTTATTACCTTTAACGCTGTAAAGCAAAGGATATGTAATGGTGTATATAGTAGCTCAAAAGGGATGAATGGGGTTGCCTAGTAATGCCAAAGAGTTACTGTTGTGTCGAATGTGTAATGTGTGTATAATGTCGATAATTTGAAAACTATAATAATTTAAAAAGGTTCTTTATTCGGTTATACATTAGTACCTACTTAAATTAGAATTGCCTCGCCGGTGCAACAAATAGTCAACTAAACAAAATACAATTTTACTGTAATAAAACTCACACACAACAAATTAACTTAATTTCTGGCCAGGGGTGTAGCGAGGTCATTGTTTTAGGGGGCTCATTTCAAATATTATGTAAACATGTTCACTTTGAAAATATACTTTTTGTATTTATTTATTTTATTTCCTGTATCAAATAATACTTCACTTAAATATATTATTATTTTAATAATTCAACTAGTTTGATAAATATTTCAATATATGTATAAATATTTTTTTTTAATGCCTAAACATTTTATCTACCTATATTTTGTAAATACCTAAATAATATAATACAGGTACAAGTTAACTTTTGAATTAGGTAGTTAACTACATAATTTTTTTCTAAGTGTAAAATATATTACCAAATATCATATTTTATTTCCTTGTTTTTTTATAGCGTTAGTTAGTTTAACGTTGGGACAAAATGTATAGAAATTAAACAAGTCAAAAACAATTACTATTTCACCTTTGTATAAATGCTATAAACCTATAATATGTATTTTGTATATTTTAAATACCTTTTAATTGTGCAATTTAAGTGAAGTATTTTGGGTGGTAGGTTCATTGTCTTATTTGATGCAATCAAGTTTACTATGTGAAGGTAGGTGAAAATTATAAAGAAACATAATATAACAATTTGTCAAATATTAGAAGTTCATAATAACTTTCAGCAACATTTAGATATCAAATAATTTAAATAAAATCTCAAATAACAAATACCACATTAATTGAACAATGTAATTTACACTGTATAATAATATAACATAATTATTTGAAAATACCATTTAAGTGTACACACATAACTTAGTTACTTGCGAATAATCATAAATTATACAATATGTAGAATATGAATTATAGGTAAATTTACAAAATTGTCAAGGGTATTCTTTGGTGACGAAAAAATGATATAACTTAATAGTAATAATTTGTGTACATTACAACAACAATTGCAAAATATAAAAGAAGAATTGGACATGTTGAAAATAAGGAGAAAACGTAAAAAATCAAAAAGAGCGTATTCCCATACAGTGTTAAGTAAAGCGAAGAAAAACAAGGGCCAAACAAATCAAAAGGGTTTTATTCATCTGCATGTCACTGATGTGTTTAGATTTTTTTAAGAAATTAAACCTTTTTAGGCACATTCGTCACCGAGTAGGGCTATCGTCGTTCTTGTGCGTTTTTTTGTGTCTTTTCAGTGTTCCAGACAGTGAAAATGTTTTCGAACATACTGTACATTCGAAAGGCCTTTCAGTAGTGTGTGTCATTTTGTGTCTACTAAGCGTTCCGGATTCCAAAAACGACTTGGAGCAGACTTCACATTGAAACGGTCTCTCGCCCGTGTGTGTCATTTTGTGTGTTTTAAGATACCCAGGTAGACGAAACGTCTTTAAGCATACTTCACACTGGAAAGGCCTCTCCGGCGTGTGTGTCTTTTTGTGTGTTATGAGATGTCCAGATTGTGAAAACGTCTTGCTGCAAACTTCGCATTTAAACGGCTTCTCGCCCGTGTGTATCATTTTGTGCTCTTTTAAAATACCCTTTTTCGTAAACGTCTTCGAGCACATCTCGCACTGGTACGGTCTCTCGCCCGTGTGTGTCATTTTGTGCGCTTCAAGATACCTAGGCCGTGTAAACGTCTTGGGACACACTTCACACGGGTAAGGCCTCTCGCCCGTGTGCGTCATTTTGTGCGTTTTCAGATGTCCAGACTGTGAAAACGTCTTCAGGCACAATTCGCACTGAAAACGCTTTTCTCCTGTGTGAATTATTTTCGGTCTTCTCGGATTTTCCGTAACAGAACCGGTTTCAGATTCTTCTTTAGCTCCGATACTTTTTGTCTCGACGTTTGACTCGCCAACACTACACAAAAAACAGGTAAAACAAATTATTTGGTAGTGTTGTCAATCTGTTAGTAATGTAGACAACAATGTTGTGGTTATAATTCATTCCATAAACATAAAAAAAATGTTTTAAGGAAAACACTGAATCATAAGTATAAGTTTGCAGCATATTTGGCCCTATACATTATGCACTAATCCGGTATCTGAATTGAGTAAATAATTCTAGTTAACATAATATCAAACTGTGAAAAAATTGAGTAAACTACTATTAATTATATTAATAATAATAACTAAGTTACTGGATTTTGATACGTGCACACAGATTTTAGGTTAACCGCAGGGGTAAAAACATGTACATGTTAAAATTAACTCACCCAGTAGACAGCGGCTCTGAAATTGAAAATGTAAAATCAGAAAATATGTTCCCGACTTCGGTTTCTTCAATTTTAATACTTGCTGTATCGCAGTTCGATTCAACGGAACTTTAAAAAAAGAAACAAGTAAAACAAATCATACAACAGTATTACCAACATCTAAAGTAAAGACAAACAAGTATGCTGTGACAATGATTTATTCAACGATACATACTATATTTACTCCTAAAGTAAATATAGTTATATTATTTGTTGCATGAGAAGCAAGTGAAATATTTTTATTAGAGGTGCCCTAGTACAATGTATAAAATAACTACCATCGTTCACATGAAACAAATACATTAAACCATTTATATCTTATAGGTACCGTCTTCGGCCTTATACATTAACTAACCCCAACCTAACCGATCAAAATTGTAAATAAATTCAATAAACGAATATACAAATTGAGTGAATAAACCAAATAAACCGATTAAAAGTGAAATAAATGAGTAAATCGTTATGACAAAATAGACTCACTCCGTAGAAAAAGGATCCACATATTCGTTCTTTAAAACCGTAAAATCTTGATCAGCTTCAAGTTTAAATTCAGGTTTGAAATAACAATCTTCATCGATTTGGTCAACTTCCGATTTATTTACGGCCTCGCTGTTTAATTGTACAACAATAAAAAAATAATGATATATTAAGCACTCCAGAAATATATTCTCTTCATTTATTTCAGATAAAATGTGAGTTTAGTATACTGAAATGTACATAGGAATCCAGGCATTGATTTAAATTTACTTGACAAACATAATTGATTTGAATTTGGTCCTCTTCAGATTACTAATAAGGATTAAGTGTAAAAATAAAATATCTAAACAAAATAAACTTACCCAGTAGACAGATGATGCTCTGGAATTGAAACAGTCCAATGAGAACTGTCTTCGACATCAGATTTTTCAATTTTAATAACCGTCTGAGGGTTTGATTCACCAACACTATAAAAAAAAAAAAATAGAACAAATTATATGACAGCAGTCTTAACATCTATGAAGTATGTTGAATATATTTATTTGAGAAAAATACAATTTTGGCGATAACAATAACAATATTAATTTCGGTTGCTGATCTTTAGGCGGGTCTAGGTTACTATATTTTAGGTTCTAAGAAAGTTAACAACATTTTTGTACAAATATTTACTATTAATATCTAAAACAAATGATATGAGAGTATGCGAGTTCATCGAGTGTCAGCGCATCAAGCTCACAACAATTATGTTATGCTTTTTTTTTAACTTACGACTTACCCAGTAGACAGATGCTCTGGAATTGACACGGTCCAGTCAGAACTGTCCTCGACATCAGATTTTTCAATTTTAAAACATGTCTCGAGGTTTGATTCACCAACACTAAAAAAAAAAACAAATTATAGGTCAGTATTCCTAATATCTAAATTTATCTTAGCTTAGACTGTACTTAGTAGAAAGAAGGTCCACATATTCGCCTTTTATAGCTGTGTCGTCGACTTCTGATTTAATTACAACCATGCTGTTAACAACAAAATATCAAATATTGCTTGGGTTTGTACAAAAATAAATTTATACCGTTCAGTCATATCGTTATCAATAATATTCTGTGTTATTTCCAAATATTGTGTATTGTCTCGATGCAGATCGCTGTTGAAATACGGTTGTATACTATCTGAATTCGAATCATTAGCACTCGACTCTACATTTTGCCGACGTTCCCTTCTTTCTGCTTCACGTTGTTAGAGTTCTTCTCGGTGCAGTTCCCTGTATCGTCGTTGACGTTCTTTTTTATTGAGAGCACCCTTATTGTCCGTTCTGTTATTACAAAAGCTGAGAAATTATATTTTTAAAGATGGTATTCATTAGTTCAATGAAAATAAAAATGATTATGTCACATATCGTCGATATAAAATTTAGTTAGTAAGTAATTAATCCAAAATATATTAGTACATACATACATAGCGTGGATTTAAACTTACTTTGATGAATATAATTGGTTTGCAGTTTGTTCCTCATTCGAATCGTACTGAAGATCTGCACATAGAATGGTACATGAATTAATACAAGTATGTAACATAATTTTATAACAGTAATGGCGTGCCCATAACCTACCCTAATGATATTTGTTGTATTCAATACTTATAACTATTCATTTTATAATTAAAAAATGTCTAGAAGACTAAGACTATGTCTGTACTAACATCATTGCCCATGATCACGCAACAACTTTATAATTGTATAGCGAAATAACTGTTTTTTTTTTGTTAAGTACTCACCTTGACTGGAAACTGGTGTGGATGGTTGTTTTCTGTATTTTTAGACCAATGAAGAAACAACCACTAAAATATTGTAATTCATTTTAAAGTATTTTACTGCTTGACGTTAAATGTATCACCCTGTGCTACAGTGCTTGAATTGGAATACGATAGCATGAGAGCCACGCTACTTAAAGCATAACAAATAGCTGGACAATACACATTTAGTCCATCAAATATTTTAGTATTTAAAAACATATTCATTTGATCATAATATAAAATCTAACTGCATTAACAAAATAAAAATGCACATTTACCCATGGAGGTATGACTAAACAGTCAAAAAATAATATGAATTTATGTTTACCTTGTAGCATTAACAAAGTGGCCGGCATACAACATTGACAGCTTGGGATTCATTTAATTTTCCAATTTCAGTCGGTGGCATCAAATACAACAGACACTGAAACAAAAAATATCTATAAATTATTTCAATTAAAAAAGAAAAATATATATATATAGCGTTGCGTGTGGATCGTAATCATGACTGACCTCTTTCTAGTATACATATTTACACAACCGCCCAAAGAGTAAAAGGGCAGTCGTTACTTTAAATTAATTTCCTTAACTCTGAAAATCAACTCGTATAATTGTATTTATTTAAAATGTGTTATGCCGAGTAAAATTAAGTTAACTTAAAAAATATATAGTTATATAAAAGATTTTACTCCTGGTATATGGGTTAGCCCTATGTTAGCCATAAAATACAATATAATATATTATTAAATTATGATATTAGCGTGTAGATGGTAAGATGATAACTAATTCGTACGTAGACTCTGTTTACCGAGAGAACATACAGCGACCCGTTGCATAAATACTTTTAAAATATTATTTACCTACTATCCAACAACTACTTTGTACGGCAAGGCCATTATACTTTTAAAACAATAAGACTCGGCAATCTCGTCGGTTTTCAACTCAAACAGTGATTCAATAACTCTAGAATTAGAACTTATACATACCAACAACGGTGGCTTTTCAAAAGTTGCAATATTTTTATTATTATATTGTTCATCATCACAAACGGTTAGGACCATCGATAAACAAATCAACAAAATCACATAATCCTTGGCAAGTAGGAAAGCACTTCCGGGGTTTTGTTATCATTTGACAACGACCAGACCAGAATCGGAAGACTTTAAACCACAATTATTGGCGATCGATCCTACAGGGGCTGTAGGATCTTACAACGCTGTAATCATTTATTCATTTATTATTAAAAATATCGTACAGTATAGTGCAATAATAATCACTTTATTCTTTAAAATATTATGTAAAACGTTCACATCAAAGTGTCGAGACGCAGCTACAACGAGACAGTCCAACGAATCGTTTTTCGTTTATCAAAATGTATCCGTTCGTGTAACACATACTAGGTATATAAAGCGAAACAAATAAGTTTTTACCGAAATTCTTTAGAAATAATAATTATTATATTACAAAACAATTTTGCACTTTTCGATTAATGTGACATTCGACACTTTACCGTGTGTTATCATATTGATAACAAATTACCTACAAAACAGCAGCGCTTGGCCACCCCTGTTTCAACGTTTTACCTTCACTGCATTCTACCTTCAGCCAACCACGGTCGCCGCTGTCATCACATATTGGGCTGTATGTAAACTGCGCCAAAAATGACCCTTTTTCTATAAGCTGATATGTAAACTGCGGCAAAAAAAATTTAAACATTATACAAACTGCGACAAAGATGATAAGGTACATTCTACAAACTGCGACAATTTATTTTATATACCTACTATATAGTATATAATATACTATAATACGTACCGAATACCGATAAGAATGCTATCTTGTACCATATATTATTATAGATCTATGGTGTGCACATAGTCAATAGGAGTAAAGGTGTAAAAATTAAAATAAAAAAACAATTTTAAAATACATATTAAATTGAAAAATATTATTATTTAACTAACATTAAATTGTACATCTAATAATAGTAATAAGTTTTATAGACTACTGTAATATAATACTGTCTAAAAAAATAAAAAATTTAAATAATAATACATTTTTTTTTTGTTGTTCGTTTATAAATTTGTATTTTTGAGTAGTAATTTTGTTTCATTGTTGTATTATACCTTCTTCTGCACTCCTAACTTTTATGTATATATCAACTTAAATAATATGTTGTAGAACATGTATAAATGTATATAGTGACGGATGATAATGATGATAAAAATATGCATTCAATTTTGAAGGGAAAGATTCACTTACATTATTTGTTAAAACTTCTGATGATGATGCCCACAAAGAAGGAGGGAATATACCTTCCATATAAGTTTCTGTTAAATAATCGCAAAATTGTACTACACGAGTATATGTTACCGTATCAATATGTATTATTGTACATAGCTAATATAAGTATATTATATCCTATATAGTAGGTATATAAAATAAATTGTCGCAGTTTGTAGAATGCGCCTTATCATTTTTGTCGCAGTTTGTATAATGTTTAAATTTTTTTTGCCGCAGTTTACATATCAGCTTATAGAAAAAATGTCATTTTTGGCGCAGTTTACCATCTCCCACATATAGCACAAACAATATTATAATATTAGTCAGTAACAATTCACAGTATATTATAATAATATTTATTCTATTATGCTGTTTGTTTTTACTTTTTACGGTTAATTTTTAAAAGTGATTTATACTATATTATTTTATAGTAGGCAGTGTATAGCATTACAACAGAAATGGTCGGAATTTGTTTACTTTAAGTTTTATTAGGAAATTACCTGTTGATAAAAATCAATACCGAGTAAAGACAAAAGATCCTGGTAAATTTCAACTGGAGTGAATTACCTATCACACTTTTATATTATGTTTATTTTAAACATCAAATCTGTACAATATAAAATTCCTACGGTTTTATTATGTACAATTTTTTTTATCGATGTAATATGTATAATATTACATTCGAAGTTGATTATCAACTGATAACGAAATTATTACTATATAGTACATTTAATTTATATTTTACACTTGCTGACTACTTTTATTATAGTTTGAGTATGTTCATATACCAAAAAATATTGCAACTCCACCCCCCCCCCCCCCAGGCAAACAACCAAAGCCGCCACTGTAGTAGTGTTAATAATTTTTTTTTTTTTTCTAACTATAAATCGAATTAATTTTCAAATAGCACAATCAAATATTGGCATTTTAACGCCTATAGAGAAAACGGTAAACTTCACATTAAAAGGAAAATTGGAATCCGTCTTATTAATACGATCTAAAATTACATTGAGTTGTTTTTTATCAAACTTCCGCCAAAACTGAGAAAAATAGGTGACTTAAAAAGTTATGTAACTAGAAAAAAATAATATTTGTACGCCTTAAAATTAGTTGGATTGTACTTATATGATATTTTTTTTCCGCCCACAAACAACGTCCCTTTTCTCGTTTTATCTGATAATATTAATATATAGTTCTCTATTATAAAAAAAAAAACATATTTTATATTGTTATTAGTGGTAATTGTCAGCTAAGCAAACATTTAAATAACGAAAAATATGATATTTGATTTAAATATCACACAAATATGTCTTTGAAATAATATCTATCTTAATAAAAAAAAAGTATACATCTAACAGGGATAAAAATGTACCCAACGAACTTAAACGTACTTTACATTACTTTGTCTATTTATTTTTACTAAAAAATGTCCAATAAAAACTAAAAATTAATTTTATGTTCTCGACGAGGTGAGAAAAGGTCTAGAATGCTATTATTTCCATCCACATTTTTCGTCTACAGTTTAAAAAGCAAACAATACAAAAATTATTTAATACATTACAAACCAGTTTTTGGTTTCACTATACTTAATGGGTGAATTAAATATTTAGGTTAAAATTTGACTTCTAAAAGTTATCTTAAACATTTGTCCTTTAAAATAATACTTACTGTAAAATTGTGTTTTAATTTACTATAGTAATTATAGTTCAACTTACGTATATAACAAGCTCCACTTGCCAAAACCGAAATATTTTTTATGTATTAAAAAACACTATCTGTACTATTGGTCAGTAAAATAGACAATGAATCGGATATATTTTTTAGCATGGCATATACCCCAAAATGTTTTAACATAAACATTTTTTTAAAAAATTTCATTTTACCACGGGTCTTCAACTATTGGCTAAATCACATATTGGGGGACTAATGCCCCTTTAGCCCACCCCTAAGTCCGTCTATGGATCTGGGACCGGGACTGGGACCCTTAAACAATATTAATCAATATAATGAAATGTACTTATGTAGATCCAAAAAAAAAAAGCCGACACAGCGTATGCTAAAGCTTTACAATATACAGCCAGGAGTAATGACTTTTTTTTTATCTTATTTGTAATTATTTTACTCAGCCTTGGCAAATTAAATTCCAGACAACGCCGATCGGGATAGCTAGTATATTTATAGGTAAATTTAGAAAGGACAAGAAGGTTTTGCTCAGTGGAGAATATAATCGTAAACCAGCGCAGAAGATAAATCAGTACCTCACCGAGACTGTTCAAGACAACTTAAAAATAATAAATGCCGTGGACCTCATTCCTATTGTCTACCAGATTGAGCTATTTTCAATCCGGTTCATACCTAGTGTCATTTTGCTATTCGCTGGCTTCCTATATTTTACAGTTACTAGTTGCTATGTATTTTGATTCACTCAAAACCAACTAGTATGAGCAAATGTTTTCAACGAACACTGAAAATTTATTAAACATTAGACGTAACATTTGGATCGCTTGTGTTCAGTTTTATATTACAGACTTGTGGAACCACTTGTCAATTATGTGAGTACACACCGTACAATAATAAAACCTTTAAACCTATTTGTTGTATGAACATGTCTCTTTTGTAGATGGATGGATTACTCCATTCGGTACCATTTAGTTATTAAATTTACTTGTTTGTAAGAATTACAATCTTATACATTGTTTTTCCTCTGATGTTTATCAAGAAATGTTTGGCTTACCCCAAATCCGGGTATAATCGGTTTGCCAAAGCAGTTTTCCTCGTTTTCCATCAGCCAAATCATTAAGCTCCAAACTTATATTATTGGACTATAAAAAAATACAATTTTTATTTTATAGAACATTTCCTACTCTAATATTTTCTATAAGTGGCCTCTAAAACCTAATAGTGAGATTAATAACGAAAATGTTGAAATCCATTAGAAAACATTTATCTAAAGTTATACATTTTAATACTTTTACTATGGCTTTACTACTGGCTTGTCCAGAGAGGCGTGTTCAGTCTAGTCTGACAGTGGTGCAGAAGTTGATCGCTGGCAACGGCCCCCCTCCCCATATTGTGTTGCCCAATTTTAATCTTAGCTCGGGTAAGCATTATCCCGTTGGATGTTTGCTAACCTAGTCACTCTAACCGAGCAGGTCCTTGTTCTCCCAGAGACCTTTCCCCCGTTTGTTCAATCTGTCACGGATCGACGGAAGGAACTTGAACGTCCATCTACCTTTGGTAGAATTAGTCCAGCGGTCCTGCCAGGCTTCAACCTGTCGGTTCCAAGTCTCTGATCTTTGTTGTGTTTTCTGTTGCAAGTCTAAGCCTCTGGTTTTCTCCACTGCCTCCATATAGGCTACCAGGAGATCTAGTGGCATAGAACCTGATAACACCTGTAGCGCTTCCGTCGATGGCGATTTATAAGCATCAGTTACACTCAATAAAGGATTTCTCTGTATTATGAGCAGGGTATCTCTCCCATACCAATTGTTGGCTATACTAGCCTAATGCTGGCAACCGTACATGACTCTGGGTATAAATACCCTGTTATACAACACCACGAGGTTCGGCCTATGGTAACCCCAGTCCGCTCCATAAGAAACAATGCGGTCTTCCCCAAACGCAACGGCAAATCCGGGTACTAGGCTTCCTTTCAACACCACAGCACTGGATTTAGTTGCCAAAAACGTTAGTCCTCTTCCATCGCCCTACGCTTTGGTAATAGCAAGAATTTCTTCTGCTCTGGCGCGTAGCTGTATCCTAGTATTTGCAGTAACCACTATGGCTATGTCATCCGCATAGGCCTGTATCTGGGCATAATTCGGCAGTACCTCAAGAAGCAAGTCCTCCATAGTGATGTTCCGCAAGAGTGGACCGAACACCGACCCCTGAGGGCAGGCTTTAGTTAACGTAATCCTTGGGTCAGGGTAACTGTACTCTCGGTTAGATAGTCCATGGTTATCTTTCTCGTGGCTGCTGAGCATCCAAGTCTGGCCATGGTGACGAACAGTGTAGGCCATTTAATATTATCAAACGCGCCACTAATATCAAGAAACATGCTCATAGCGTAGGTTCCTTCAATGTTATCCACCCAACACAGATCATTGATTGCATTTGACGTCGATACCCCCTTTAGTGAAACCGTATTGTCGGCCACTG